AATTATCATTAACAATTTTTAAGTGTATAGCTCAATGACATGGAGAACATTTACATGTTTGTGAAATCATATGATTTATTTTTGACCCCATGCATTATTTAGAAGTTTTTTAAGGAAAGGGATATATTAGGAGTATGTGATTAACAGATAAAAACTACCACATATAAAACAGATAAGCAACAAGGATTTACTGTATAGCACAAGGAACTGTACTGAATATCTGATAATAACCTATAGTAGAAAGTAACCTAAAAGAATATATTTATATAACTGAATCACTTGGCTGTAACCTAAAACTAATACCATATTGTGGTTCAATTTAAGAAAAAAAGAGAAATGTTAATTTTATAACTGGAGATTTTATTTATTTATTTATTGGCCATGCCACGAGACTTACAGGATCTTAGTTCTCTAACCAGGGATTGAACTCTGACCCTCAGTGGTGCAAGCATGGAGTTCTAACTACTGGACCACCAGGGGATTCTCCTATAGCTGGAGATTGTAAAAGATATTTTTGCTGTTGTATCTAGCTTAATTAGGGCTTCCCTGGTGGCTCAGCGGTAAAGAATCCATCTGTAAGCAGGAGACGGGGATTCGATTCCTGGGTTGGGAAGATCTGCTGGAGGAGGGCATGGCAACCCACTCCAGTATTCTTGCCTGGAGAGTCCTGTGGACAGAGGAGCCTGGCGGACTATATAGTCCATAGGGTCGCAAAGAGCTGGACACGACTCAAGTGACTGAGGATGAGCATGATCTAGCTTAATTGCACACGAGTCAGAGACTACATACTGTATGATTCCAGTTTTGTGACTTTATTATAAAGATTTTCTTTATAGCTTTGGCTGGGTAAATTCTTGTGAATGTTCTGCATGTGCTTGATAAGATTGTATATTCTTTGGTTTTGGTGCAGTATTCTGTATGTACCCATTGGGTCAGATGCGTTAATTTTGTTCAAATAGTTTAAAAAAATCAGTCTTTTCAAGTCAAACTTCCTGTAATGATGGGCAGTTTCTCTGTCTGGACTGTGAAACTTGCTAACCATGAGCCACATGTTTGAACACTTGAACTCTGGTATAACTTAGGAAGTGAAAGTTTGTTTCTAGCTAATTTTGATTAATGTAAAAGTATATGTAAGTCACCTCTGCTTCATGGCTTTTGTAATGAACAGCATAGTCCTAAATCAAGGCTGAGTTGATTTTTGTCAGTTACTGAGAAAGGCGCTATTAGAATCTTCCACAGTAACTGGTGATGACACTGTTTTTATTTGCCCGGAAATGACTTTATTTAAAACTTTGAATAGGATTTTGAAATGTATATACACTTATCTTGTACCAGACACTGTTTCAAGAGTTTTGTGAGTGTTAATTTTATAGTGATAAGTTCTCGCTCTTCTGTGTCTCCCATCTTTTTCTCCTGCTGCAGATGTTTTGAGCTTGTGTCCCTTCCTTGCACACACGTTGGCTCTACGGCCTGTCAGTCACAGCCGCGTCCCCAGGTCTCCTGTTCCTACTGGACTTCCTACCGTCTTGTCTCCTGTGTGACTGGCATTAGCCCCAGGACACTCACTGTTGTGTTCAGAAAATTATCTGTAGCAATAATCTGAGACCCAGGCTCCCTAGAGAGGATTTTAGTTTCTTGTGTTGGGTACTGGTGGATACTACTGTTTTTAATGTCAGACCTTTCAGTGCTCCATGGTGAGGAGATCATTGGGGTCTCCCTGATCTGCAACGTGCTGTGACCTGGTTCTCCCCATGCCCTATTCTCTCTGTCATGTGAGACAGCCTGACTGCCCAGAGCCAAGTCTGTCTTTTAAAAAACTTGTGTAGATATTTTATCTTATGTTCCTTTATTTTATTTAATTGTGGTACAGTACACCTAACATAAAACTTAACCATCTGATTTTTTAATTGAGGTATATTTGATTTATATGTTTCAGGTGTACAACATGAAAGTCAAAGTTGCTCAGGCATGTCCGACTCTTTGCAACCCCACAGACTATACATGGAATTTTCCAGACCAGAATACTGGAGTGGGTAGCCTTCCCTTCTCCAGGGGATCTTCCCAACCCAGGTATCAAACCCAGATCTCCTGCATTGCAGGTGGATTCTTTACCAGCTGAGCCACCAGGAAAGCCCAAGTACACTGGAGTGGGTAGCTTATCCCTTCTCCAGTGGATCTTCCCCACCCAGGAATTGAACCGGGGTCTCTTGCATTGCAGGCAGATTCTTGACCAACTGAGCTACCAGGGAAGCCCTAGTGTGCAACATAGTGACTCACAGTTTCCATCTAGAGTTAGACAGAGTATTGACTGTATCCCCTGCGCCCTGCAGTGTGCCCTTGTAGCTATTTGTGTTCACATAGTAGTTTGTGTCTCTTAAACCCTGGAATGCCCAGTCTTGTTTTGTCCTCATTCTCCTGCCCTCTCTGTAAAGTTTGGCTCTGTTAATTGCTCTGTCCTTTTCTGAACATCCTTCTCCAGCTTCTCTCCTGGAAGCTTCTGGACTTTGCTGGCTGTTCTTTTCCCTGGCTCCCTCTCTGGCTCTCCTCATCCCTTCTACTGGCTCAGTAGGCGCTGGTGTCCCAGGGGGCCAACCTCTGCTCCCCTTCCCCTGACTCTGTGTTCCTTCTGGGGGATCTGCTCTGCATCTGAGCCTCAGCCCCCACCTGCCCACTTATGACTCTCCAATTCCACGTTCTCTTCTGGGCCCCTGATTAAGGGTCCTGCTGTGGCCTGCTTGGTGGTCCCAGGGGTGTCTCACACCTGAGTCGTCAAGTACCCTTTCCCCATCTTTGATGGCCTTCTGCTGGAGGATAGTGTGACTATCCACTCCCAACCCCTGTAGGGGCCCAAGATTCCTCTTTGCCTCCCAGCATCACCCACTCAGCTGCCCGTTCAGCCCTCTATGGCTGGGCTCTCTGGAGAGGTCGGGGTACCACCTCCCAGTTCACAGGTGCCCAGGTGAGTCTGAGCACCAGCCAGGGGTGGTGGGCACTATCTGGGCCTTTTCTCCCTGTTCTGCCCCTGCCAGCATTGTGGGTTACTCCCTACCCTGGACTCTCCATCCTTTCTGCCCCCACTTCTTTGGGGCATGTTTATTACTAGATGCCTCATTCCTGAAATGCAGATAGGACCATAGCATTTTTCAGCCTAAAATTCTTCAGTGATTCTTCTTCATTCTTAGGAAAAATAAAACTCCTGTGTTTGGCATAGAAGGTCTTTATCTCCCTACTGCTACCTACTCATGCCTTCATCCATAGACTATGTACCTGTCACTTTTAATTATTTTTTCTTCTCTTCATGTCTTTGTATAAGCCAGTTCCCCACTTGCTGGAATTCCCTTTATCTCTCCTTGGTTGGCTTCAGCTTGTCCCGAGAACCAAATCGTTATCATCTCCTGTGGACATGCTCCCTGGAAGGTCGGAGTTAGACATATGGGGGCTGGGAGAGGAAGAGAAGGAAATGAATCCCTGAAGATGAGTGGAGTTGTTTCCCCCTTCTCTCAGTGTCGTAACTACGCCAGGCTTGGACCCCCTTCTACCTCCCTTTGTCTTGGTCCTGATGGGTATTTCCCTTCTGCCTAGATCCAGGGGAGGAAAGAGGATGAGGTGTGGACACATCACTTAGAAGAGTGTTTGAGTGATTGGGGGATTTGGGTTATCAGGATTTAGTGTAAGACTGGCATCTCATGTGTCCCCAGACAGCCTGATTGCTGGGTTTACAGATAAGGTGCACAGCAGTGCGAAGCACTGAACCTCAGGGTTGGATGCATGCTGTCTACTCCTTAAAATTCTTAGTAATAAAGGAAATGATTTGGTAGATAAAGGTCATTGCTGAAGACAGAAATGCAGGTGATGCGTCAGGGTTCACACATGTACACTGTGTCTGGATTACATGGATGTCATCAGGGAAGGGTCCACTATTAGTGAGGGACATGAGTGTGTCCTGAAAATGATGGGGTTTGGTTTTACCGGTTCCTATGAACCTGTAAAATCACCACCTAGAGCCAAATTCTGGATCCTCGGGAGCAAGAGGGTCTGTAAGGTGGCACCCTGGATGCACAAGGGGCTCTTACTCAGAGATAAAACATAGGCTCACTCGGGCTTTACACAAGGAATACAACCTGTATAAGATCACATAAGATTATAAGGTCATATAGGATTATACAGATGGTTATAGAAATAGTGATTGGACAGTCATAAAGGGTAATTAGGGGAAACGGCTATGTTCTGGAGTGAGTCCTGAATATCTGAGTACACCTCAGGTGGGCAGTCCGTTCCCCACCAGAGTTTTACCAGCCTTGCTGAGAGATTTAGGACTGTGTAGGCCAGGGGCCCTGGTTCATGTTGTCAGGAATAAGAGCCCTTCCCAGCTCCCCCCCCCCCCCCCCCCCCCCGGGTGCACCCAGCTGTACATGGAGGTGAGGAGCTATGGCAACCGCTCCTTATTGTGATGGAGGGCTTTTCATGTTAAGGTCACCAGCCAGCTCTTATAAGGAGCTCGGGAGAGCTGAAAGGAGCATTTTCCACAGTCATGGAGCATCACAAAGCAGTACAATCCCAAAACTCCAGTTGAGTAACTTAAAAACTAACCTTTTGCAGCTGATGAATGATTGTCCAAATCTAGATCTGTCCCTGAAGCAAGATGGTAAAATGACTGGATTTATCATGCGGAAAGCCAGTAGGCCCTGGTGTTTTCTAGCTTTTTAGCTTTTAGTATTCAATTGAGACTCATAACCTCAGAATGCCAATGATGTTTGTTACTTTTGAATAGGCTTGTTTCAATCTTGGTGTATTTATTGTTGATTTTAAAATGGGATAGACTAACTTATTTCTGCCCATGCATTTTAAGTGAAACTTGTAGAATTGAGCTGTAAGTAAAAAAGTTACTGACTTAAAACTAGGCATTATGAATTTTCCATCCCAAATATTTAAATTATGTGTAATTATATGTAAACCTGAATTTAAAGCATCCATCCTGTTTTATCTCCTTTTTCAAAAAGCACTGCCAGTGAAAGATGTAAAAGAGAAACCTGAACGACAGATCAGGATGAGAGACTCTGAAAAATCAGCCAGCGGTCCTGACCCTCAGCAACCACCAAGTGCCTTAGCTGCCCGAGGAAGCAGGAGAGCCATCAAGAGCCCTCAGAGGTCATCCACTAAGATAAAAGAACAGAAGCACCCGTTTGCCCTCTACGGATGGGGAGAGAAACAGACGGACACAGGAAGCCAGAAAACTCACAACGTCTGCGCCTCTGCCCCTGTGCGGGAGGTATGTGCTGGTGAACGGGCTTCTCTGCTTTCCCCTGGGGGTGGGGTTGGCCTGGCTGGCACTGGCTATCATACCTGTGGTTGCTGTGATGTTTTGGGACATGGTAGGTCTCAGGTGGGCCAAGGAAAGCCCAGGACTGGGCATCTGATTGCAAACAGGATGCAGGATGTTAGCTACCTAGAGACTGGGGTTTTGCTGGGAGTTAACTGGTAGCTGGAAGGTTTTACTGACACCGAGCCAGATGGAGAAGGGGCAGGACGCGGGGCTCTCAAGTTCCTGGGGCCCAGGAGGTACAGCCGAGGGGCGTAGCCTGGGCTGGCAGCTGCCCGTTTAGATTTGCGTCTGGCCTGAGAGGCTCCTGCTCTGTTGGACTTGATAACTGGCATCTCGCGCCTCCCCCTTTCTTGGTGTCTATCAGATCGCATCTGCTGTGGTTATGCACGTCTGTCTAGACTCCTGTTTTCTCTTTGGATTAAATTAGAGTGATTGCATGTCCCCTGCTCATCCCTCCCCCAAGGTTTAGTCTCCTTGGACTCAGGCCTGGCATGTCCCCGTGCAAAGACCTGAGAACAAGGCAGACAAGGGCCCCTCACCTGTGGGGTCACAGAGCAATGACTGTGTTAGTGCCAACAGCATCCACCAACCCAAAGCAAAGAGGGCCTGAAGAGAAGCAGAGATGCAGGCTGTTTGAACTCTCATTACATGCCACAGTCCAAGTCTTACTGAACAGACTTCTCAACTCTAGCAGATGGTGGTGTTTGGAGTTATCTCAAATAACTCTGAGGACAACAGAGTTGTCCTCTGGCAATCCCATGGAGTTAAGTTGAATGAGGTTCATTAAACATCTTAGGTGGTAAAATCTTGAAATTTGATAGTATTTTGCTGTAAAATATATAAGTTCCTTCAGTGGAATACTCATTCTTGCTTAATGCTAAGGAGTTCCAATCCTTTTCCAGAGACAGTTTCTCAAGGCAAGTGCAGATTAGTTGCTTACCATTTAAACTGAAATTTAGTCTGGTGGACATTTTCTGTTGCCGAGTTTCTTTACTGCTGACAATGGGTAAGACAGAACTCAGGGGAATGGCTCTTCTGGAGAAACTTTTATTCTCAGAAGTCCTGAATATGGTGAGACTGATTTGCCTCTGCCCTGCTCCAGGTGACCTGGAGGAAGCTTCATTGTGAATACTTTGGAAAATTAGTGCCAAAGCTACTGTTCATTCATTCTGACTCCCCTTAGATCCATGAATCGGCACTGCGAGCCAAGAGCAGAAGGCAGGTGGAGAAGAGGCGGCTGGCGGCTCAGAGGCAGCGAGCTCACTCTGCTGATGTGGAGAAAAATAGGCGGGTCAAGCCTGCCTCCTCAGAGAACCCATGGATGACAGAGTATATGAGATGCTACTCCGCCAGAGCTTGAGGGAAGGAACAGTTGCTTGGACAACCTCTTTCTAAAAGTGTAAATGAAAGAAAAGAACAAAACAAAAACTACCAAAAGAAACTGGACACAGGTTTAAGAAACCAACTGATTATGCAAGGTTTTTCTTGGGGAATTTCCGAAAGATTGTCTCTTTTGATGAATTCTGGTCACCCGCCTCAGGAGTAGGGTGACAACTGAAGCCATAGACATTCGGTTATTTATGAGGAGAATTCCCTAAATCTTTGATATTCTTATAAGGGTTTTGTTTTAAAGCATCTTAATCTTTTAAGATCCTGACACCACATGCCTTTAAATGGCTGACAGATGCTTAACTTCAGTTTCTAGGCTCAGGTTAGGTGAAGCCTGTTTTCCTCCTGTTCTGAACAGCTTCTCAGATTCCAGAGCTGGCAAGCTCATGCCAGCTTGCCACAGAAGATTCCTTTTCCTTATGTGTAGTTTGCTTTGGGAAAGAACATCAAGTTAAAAGTGAATTTCAACACTACTGTTGATACCATGTATAGTGAAAGTATTGTAGAACATTGGTAGTTTCCTAAACAATTAAATGTTTTTTTGTGTTTCAGTTCAAGCACCACTTCATCATGTGGACTGTGATATTTAAGAACTATCTAGACTGGGTGAGGGTCATCTTTTCTCTTTAAATTGTCTAGGCACTTATTAATAGTTTAGTTCAAGTGCATTCCAAATGAAATGTTTAGAAGTAGTACTGAAGTTTCTTTTGAGTCAAAGACTGTCACTTTTTATTAAGATTTTTTTAAGGACACTTAATGGGGGTACCAGTCACTTGCTGCAATCTGGTCTTTTGGCACTCACCCATTGTGGAGTTTTGCCTCTACTAGAAGAGTTTAGCAATGATACTTAGAATTTAGAATCTAAAATTTCACTTAGTAAATTGAGATTGTCTTGCTTACTGGGGATGGGGGACAGATTTTAAGCTACCTATTAGAGATGTGGATCACCCCTACTTTTCTCCTCCATGGAACTTACCAATAACAAAGCCTTGATGAGGTACATTGTTCAGACTTTTGGTTGAAATACATTCCTCGTAGGTTCCTAGCTGGTAGGTTTTGTGTAGAAGCTAATGTGAGGGGATGCTGCTGTGTGCATGGGCGTAGATGCGAGCATTTCAATGAAGTGTTTCCTTCTCTCCAGTACATTTGCTTTTGCGGTTGAAAGTGGTTTTGAGAAACATTTTTTCCATTTAGCAGAGATAGGAATCTACAATAAGGATGAATGCTAAATACCCGATAAGAGAGAAAAAAGTACTTTGCCAGCTTACCATGTAGAGATGTGTGAATGTAAATTTGGTGTTTGGTGTGCATTTGAGCATTTCCTTGATATTTTTACTCTGGGTCTTTGAAGTATTATGGTTGATTTCTACAAAGATGTTTCATTCCATATAAAATCTTCACACAGTATCATCTTACATAATCATATTAAGCTTTGCAAATTCATATTGAAGAATCATGAGCTTTAAAAAAAAACTTAAAATATGTGCGTTATTTTGAGGTGAATATATAGAGAGCTCTCTTAGTCACTACGATGTATGTTTAGTAAGAGAAAGGTCTGTGTGTTGTCCAAAATGTCCTTGCTAGGGATTCTGGTGAATCTTGCTGTTATTATAGTCCTTAAACACTGCAGGTACCTAAAGAGGAAATTTCTGTGGTAATGTGGTGGTGGAGACTGATCCTTTAAAACCACTTCCTGCATGTATAGTTTCAGCCACCAGCTCCAGTGTTCTGTTCCCGTTGTAGCTGACAGTCTTAGGAAGAGGCTGTGGGGAGTAGCTCAGGTCCACACTGATGGACTGCCTTAGAAACCTGACCCCTCAAGGTCCTGAGCAAGCCAGACTCTCTCCTTTAAAACACTGACTTGTATTTAATATCCTTAATTACTACTGCAAACTCCACATGCAGATCTGGAAGAACCTAGAAGGTGATATTGGCCAGTATTTTCCCCCTTTTAAGTAGCGGACCAATGAACAAGATTTTTTTAAGTGTTTTTAATGTGCGTGAGCAATGAATGAGTCAGTATGAAGTGACTAGGAGTCCCCTTCCTGTGTCCAAGCCATTAGTTGGTTAGGGTTTCATTTTGTTCTTTCTCTTTAGGGGTAAAGGTGACCTTTTGAACCTATAAAATTTTTAAGTTGTAACAACTTGATGTCCTACTTTTTCCTTCTCACTAATGTCATTGTGATCATGTTCTTATTCCTTGAGACAACTTATGAAACAGTGAGGTAATTTAAAATTGCCTTTCATGTTGAAAAGTTTGAAACTGAGAATCCAGTGATATTTAACATATAGATTGAAATAACTGCTGCATAAGAGTCTCTTTTTAAAATTTTAGTTTTTAAGTTCTTAATTAAAACAACTTGTTGTAACATATTTCCTGTGTTTACTAAAAGCAATAATAGAATATTAAGTAACACCGGAATACTTCTGCTGGACTGAGGTGAATGAGACTAGGAATCTGTCCTTTTTCTTTCTTTTAAAACCTAAAAGACTGCTCTATTTATGAGGTGTCAAAATGCTTGTACTCCCCCACTGCCAGAAAATTCCCAAGTACCTATATACATTTCTTTTAAAGTCTACTAAAAGTAAAATAGGGTATAGTTTATCTGAATTGCTTATAATGTAGTAAGCACACATTTGTGGTGCTTCTTATGAAATAGCTTTGTCATTGATTCATCAGATGTAGATTACTAGTCATTTGAAAGCTTTGAACACTTTGATGAGCAAGTACTAACATTTCCGCTGATAAAGTTTATGTCCAGCATAGCCTCAGCACCCAAAAGCCCCCTTTCTGTTGTGCATTTTAGCTGTCTGAGTTTGCATGACCCAGCTAAAATGCACAACACAAAGGTGGCTTTTGAGTGCTGAGGCTGTGCTGAACATAAACTTTATCAGCGGAAATGTTAGTACTTGCTCATCAAAGTGTTCAAATGTATTACTGGCAAAGAGGAAGAGGGGCCAAGCATATGTTAGAAGTGAAAACAACTGTCTTGTTGACTGCTTCAGTGAAAAATAGCTTAGTGGGCAGTTTTACATTTCACTGGACTAGATAAAAAATGGTGCTAATATTTATACAGTCTGATTCTGTAGTTGGTTTGGGATCAAACTGCCAAAGCCTGACTCATGGGTCCTTACCATAGTCTTGTGATCAGTTAAATAGCATTTAAAAAGTGATCCTAAAAGTGTGACCATGTATAATATTTGAAATGGATTTTGTGCAATAGGCTGAATAGGGAGCTGTCCACTTAGTACCAAATTCTGTGAGAGGAGCCATGTCCAGGGCTGAGGCCCAGGCTTCCTCCCAGCCTGGAAAGCCGCTCCTTCATTATTCATTTCCATTTTGAAAGTCAGGACACCTGCGTGATACACTAGAGGCCTCCTTTTGGATTTCTGTATAATTAGCAGAACTGTTTTTAAGAGCTGTCCCCTGTGTTGCTGGGTATGTATTTTGAGCACTGCACTCACTCTAACATTCTGAAGGTACTAAGGCTGGGCACCCACAGTCACAGCGCTCAGGCGGTGGGAACTCACATCTGTGTTTTCTAAGAACTGTGTTGCTTTTAGCTTGTATTTAATATTGCAGTTACTTGGAAAAATGTGAATAAAGTTCATTAATACTACAGGCTAAGCTTCTGTTTTGTGGGCAGTAATTCTGATGAGTACATTAATGGTTGAAGAGAATTCAATGATTATATTGACTCCTAAATGTATTTTTCATTAGATAAATATTCAGTAAGGTATATTTAGTTAGGTGTATTACATCCAGGAAAAAATACTTTGTGTGTATACACTTTGAATTAAACTCCACATTTTCCCTAGTCTTTCCCTCATACATTATTGCTTTGAAAATTACAAAAGGGATACAGCATGGACAAAAGTAACTTAAAGAGATTTGTTGTTTAGTTGCATTCAACTCTTTGAACCCATGCACTGTAGCCCACCAGGCTCCTCTGTCCATATGATTTCCCAAGCAAGAATATTGGAGTGGGTTTCCATTTCCTTCTCTAGGGACCTTCCTGACCCAGGGATCAAACCCAAGTCTCCTACACTGGCAGCAGATTCTTTACCGCTGATCCACCAGAGAAGCCCTAACTCAAAGAGAAGTATAGAGTAAAAAGTCAAAGTTCCTTTCAACACCACCCCCTCACCAATATTCTACGTCCCTTCTTAGAGGAAACCAGACCTTTTTTCCAGGCACTTGGAGGTACATATACACTGTTTTTTTCACAAATATGGAATAATGCTATACATATTCTGTAACTCCCCAGCTTTCCCTCACCTGCTCTCCTTGTTCACACTGTCCCCTGATCCTAATTAGCCAGCCGAGCACCTTTGAGAGTGGGCCGCCGGGCAGACCCCTCCTCGGGTCTCAGACGGACCACAAAGTTCTGTACATGTGAGGCAGGTCCGAAGAGCACTGCAAAAGCTTTGAAGGCTGAACCGGCACTGGAAGCAGCACCCCAGGACTTGGGGCCTGAGCTTAAACAGATTGATTACCTGATAAAACAAAAATGCCAGCATTCTCCATAGGACTTGGTTGTGTTTCATCATGTAATACTCAAACTCCCTATGAGGCACTCCAAATTACTCAGCATATGAAACCATGAAAACAGCTGTCATGGAAAAAGGCAGTCAGTAGCTGCCATCATAGACTTGAAGGAAGCTATTATTGAAAAGTGCAAATGAACAATCACACTCTTGAAATAAGTATTAAAATAGAAATTATCAGTAGAGAAATAGATAATAGGAAAACCAAGTGACAATATTAGAACTGAAAAATGCTCCAACTGAATTTTAAAAAATCTTGCTGGATAGACGCAACAGCAGGTTGAAGATGACAAAGATAGTAGATCAATACAAATCATCCAATCTGAACAACAGAAAAGGGCTGAAGAAAAGTTTCCAGGTTGTGTTATAGGACTCATAGAAAGATAAGAGAGTGTAGTGCTTTAAAATCATCTGCAGAAATGA